GAACCCGGAGTTGGCCGCCAACTGCAGCGCAGCATCGTGGGGGCTGGTGGGGCAGTTGCTAAATAGCCGCCCCAAGGCGTGGGGTGATAAACTGGGAGAAACGGGGGGTGCGGGGGGTCCGCTGGGTTTGGGGGACGGGGTGTCGCAGCGGCCGGGGGGCGCCCTTTCTGTGACAGTGTCGGGATAGTGGATATATCGATAGAAGGTGTTGACACGGGATTAACTCTTTCCGCCTCCCGCCTTTCAGAATTTTATTTCCCAACACCGTGAGGCGAATTGTTAAAATTCAGATGAGGAAGGTGTCAATATTGTATTGGGGGAAATGCCTGTTTCGTGTGCCTGTGGGTGCACACGCGGAGCTTGTGAGCGTGGCTTTCCGTGGGATATAACCTTACGTTTCAAAATTACTCATCTGTGCATATTTTGTGATAAGTTTTTGTGACGCCGCAGTAGGATACTGCTTAAAAATGAGCTGCGTGTAAGTTTGTGTCAGCCCTTTTGTGAGGAGGTGCCGGGTTTACCTGTGAAGATGTACAGTAGCACATCTCCTGCCTCGCTGTCGGTGCAGATCCGCGCTGGGAAAGGGTTGTTGCTCCCAGGATAAGAGCTGCATTTGGGAAAACGCAACATGCAAAAAAAAAAGAAAATCTTCATTTAGGCTTTTGATATAGTTATTCTTACCTAAAACTGCCACATAAGGTGTGGAAGATATTGTACACTGTTTTGCCTGACAGATGTGAAAAATAATGCAACTTTTATTCTTTTGTACGCATCTGCTGTATGTAGTCTTCAGAGTGATTGCAATTGAAGAAAGAACAATAGTGATTCAAAGTAGCCTTTTTTTTTTTTTTTTATAGTCTTGAGCCTAAAATAAATGTTTCTAAAGTTTTGAAGTGTTCAGCTCCTTTCTGATGTTTTCTTCAGAGAAGTTCCTAGTAAAGAAGGTAATAATTAGATACTTGTGGTAGGTGGGCTGTAGTACTCTATGGAGCCCTAAATGGAAATTAGAGAATTGACGTGGAAGCCAGCTTCAAATTTTACTTCTTTTCCAGTCCATCATTTGTTGTTGAGTTTCATTTTAAAGGGTGCTTCGTTCGGCTTTGTCTTAATTTAGGTATAGAGATTTATTCTTAAGATTAAAGATTGGAACAATGGGAAGCAATTGCAGCTTATATACTTATAATTTTAGTGAAAGTCAACTTTAAAGTATTTAGTACAGCTATTCAATATCCTCTTATAATTTGTTTTATGCCAGTTAGTTGTAATTTCTTTCTGTAACGTGGATTGTTATAAACCTTGTAAAAAATTCTTATTATCTTTATGTATAATTCACTCTCGTGAACAAATTAGATCTTTTTTTCCATGAGTGAACTATAATATGAAATTTAATGTTCTGACCTTTCTTATGCTAGATTACTGAAAATAGTGTTGATTGAGCTTTTCTGAAAGCCCAAGCATATTTTTGTGGTTGGTTTAACGTGTTGTTTTATATTGTAGCTTTTAATTGCCAAAAAAAATAACATTAGAAATGTAATTTTCATGCTAGTACTTAATTTATGGAGACGCTAAAGTTCTTGCAGAGTAAAAGAAAAACTTCGGGTTTTTTTCCAGGGAGATTTGATGGCTAGCAGTCTTGTTAATGACAGTCATTTCTCTAACAGGAAGATGTTTTCATTTGTATTTACTTTTCAGTGCAGGGCAATTATGCTGCTCTGTGTGGCACACTCTTCGCAGTTCCTATCTCAAAAGAATTACAGTACTTGGAACAGGACTGCAATTTGAAGCAGGTGTTGTGTTTTACTGTTATGCAAAATAACACTAAAATATAATTGTAAGGGAAATTAAAGGAAACAGCTGCAAACTTGGTATGGTAAACCACTACATTCTGATTTGAGAGCAGTTGTTGCATGCATGTTACATCATGGCCAACACAGCAAAGATTTGCTTTAATCAAGCTCACCTTGCTGATTTTTACTCCTGAAACTAACACGCTTGTTGTTCCAGTACGGGGGTTAATGCAAACCTCAAGCTTAGCTATGGAGATGACTCAGGTTTTAAATGGGAATGTTATGATTTAGTTTCATCTTCATATTTTTTTTTCCCCACCAATCATAAAGAAGATGAAGGATAGAATGCAATTACTGGAATGAAGGTTGCAGAATGTCTTAACCCAACTAACATATGGAAGCCTACATAGGCCCGAGGTTGTAAAATACTAAAATAAATGGCCTATAGCAGGCCATCTGCCATTTGCAGGGCATTTTTATCGTGCTTTATGCCAAACTGGAAATTAGTCTTTGTATTAAAAATATATTTTGAATACAAATCAAAGATTCCAAATGTTTAACGTTACACATGGCAAACACATTTCTATCTGGGAGCTAAGAGAAGTCCAGGAAAACCACAGTGGAAAAATATTGCTTAGTTTGATGCTTGGGGCTCAAGTCATTCTCTTCTCTTTCCTATCTTTCTGTTTTCCTGGTAAGCACTGATTTACTTTTGTAAATTACACACCAGGTATGGAAAATCCACTACTGCGTGTAGCAACTAAAGGGGAGGATCAGCTGATGTAAAGTGTCATGATTCCCTGCAAGTTCTTGCAGCTAGGATAGTGTGCCCCTGCTGAGGATCTACCTCAGAAATAGGGCTTTAAGAGTTGCTCATCTTGAAAGTATTCTTCGAACATCAGCTGATCAATTTTCACGAAGTCCCTCTGAAAGGAAGGCAGCTGAGTTATCCTCAGTTTATTGATTGAAGGAATTGAAGCTCAGATTCTGTGCAGGGAACTCAACAGGGATCAGGTTTGGGAAGTTTCTGGCTATTGGGCTTATGCTCGTATTATAGAATGCTTCCAGTCTTAAGGCAAAATATGTTTAAAAGCACTTTGAAGAAGTGAAAGATAGGGATGCATAAAGAGGGAAGTGCGTGTTTCTTTCATCTTATGCAGAAATATTTATGCATAAAATCGCACTTAAATCTGTCAGAGAAATCGTTACTGTCTGGTGATGAATCCAAACCAGTTTCTTTGCTAGTGCACTATAACCTGGATATTTTGTTAACGTTGGCTAGATAGTAGCCTTTCTCTGGACAGGGAAATACTTTGATTCAAAGGTTTTTCAGTGTGCCTTTTGCTGTGGAATTGTAAAATTTTCTGCATTGTATCAGCTTCTCTTAAGTCTCTCAGTTGTAATTTAATTTGTGAAGCTAAAACAGGGCCTTGAAAACAAGTGTGTGTATTTGTGGAAAGCCATTTGTCCTTCAGAAACCTGCGTCCACTTTTTAATTTTCACGGTTGCAATTAGCACAAGATGTTATTTAAAATAAAGGATAGTAAATGTGGAGTATTTAACTAGAGCTTTCAACACAATTTTTTTTTTTTTCCCCCCAAAGATAAAGCCTTACTTTCAGCATTCATCCTTTGGATGTATTTAATGATGATGGAGTTAAATGATGAGGTAATTAAAGAAAAAAATGTGAATAGTAATGCTCAGCGAGTTGGGTGATGGGTACATCAAAATTATAGAAAAAAAATCTCTTAATGGAAATCAGGAGAGGATAGAGTAATATGTCTGCATATGTTTACGTTTCCTTGGAATTTTTAGCAGTGTGTGCTGTCTTTCTCTCCTGGCAGAGGTCCACGGAGTTGATGAGGAGCTGCTTGGAGTCGGGGGCCGCCTGGAACACGATGCCCTACCCCGCTCCTGGCCTTGGGAAGTTGTGAGCTGCTCATGTCCATAAGGAGGAAGGATGGCTCATGGAATTCCTTCACAAGGCAAAGTTACCATAACGGTGGATGAATACAGCTCCAACCCAACGCAGGCGTTTACACACTACAACATCAACCAGAGCAGGTTCCAGCCTCCCCACGTGCATATGTGAGTATTCCTGGCGTCACCTTGGTGTGTGTCTGCCGGTGTGTCTGCGTGTGCGTGGAAACCGAGAGCTGCCGCTGAAGGAGTGTGTTGAAAACTGGAAAAATTGGTTAGCCACGTTAGGCAAAATGGTTATCCAATTTCTTACACAGCGTGTTTGAGAAACACTGCTCCATCATCTCCTGGGGAGAACTCCTTCTGCCCCAGGTGTGGTACCACCGACTTCATGAAACTTGCCCCAGCGATGACTAATAGGATACATTTTCTGAAACTTCTCACTTTACTGATCTCAATTTAACTCACCCGAGGGTCCCATGGCTTTAAGATTGAAGCTCCCTTCCCCCAGCCCTTACACTCAGCTGGGAAATAGGCCTAATTGGGACTAATTGTGCCCCCTGATCACTGAATCCTTTGTCCTCCCGGTTGCCAGTGGAACGTGTGCCGCATGCCGCATTCCACTCGCAAACCCGCCGCACAAAGGACTGGGGCGGGGGGGAGACGGGACCTGTCCAAGAAATACAAATACAGCCTTAAAACCACATCCCTGGCCCGGACTTAAACCAACAAAAAATGGGAAGTGGGGAGCTGAAGGCTTCTTACCTCACCTTGTTATTCTGGGGATTGTGTGACCCCAGGATCGTTCCGCTGCTCTGTACCTGGGCACAATGGTTTGTTAAGAGCTAAGCACCAGTTTTGACTCTGAATTTCCTTCCCATTGTTTAGTTAGGTTTGATCTTTATCAGTTATTTCTGTGGAGGTTCTTTTAATATTAATAGAATGGAAAGCAAGTGAAACTAAAACAAAACCCGACATCTCTTGACCTCCTGTGTGCCATTGTTAGTCAGGATTTTGAACGATGTCACACTATTGAGTTGATGAGGATTTTGCATAATAAGGGGGGAAAAGTTGTATGGTACTTCGTTGCATTTTTGTTATGTAGAAACCTGCTGGAATAGTCACAGTGTAGGAGTTCAGCACCTTCTAATAGGATTTCAGGTGGTTACAGTCTTCCTAAAGGCAACTTCAGGAAGGATGCTGAGGAGTGTCTGTCCTGCATGTGACTTTTTAAGGTAGAAAAAGTTTTAATTGATTATTTGATTATTGCTACAACGATAATGTAACTCTTCTTTTAGAAGTATTTCTTGATTCATTTTTCAGACCTTTTGTCAGCAAATTTCCATTGCGTGTTTTGCACTGCAGGCTGCACTTCTGGCTGACATTAAGTACAAATTCTACATAGAGAATGAATTCAGAACAAACAAAAGAAATTTAGAAAAGAGTTTTAAAGAACCCCTTCTTATTGACATCGATTTCAATAGGAACTGATTTTTGGAACGAACTAAGTGTGGCAATCAGCATTGAAACAAAGCATGAGTAATTTTTTACAAAAACTTGTGAGTGTTTATACAGCTATTTCTCTGTATTTGTGTACCTCTTAAATGATATTGACTTGATAGATGTCTTAAAAGATATTTTACTTCTTTGGAAAAATTGTGTCATTGAAATAAATACTGAAAATATAGCGTACAATATAGTGACAGTGTTTTAAAGGATTTCTAACTGAAATACTGCAGCTTGCTTAAAATCAGTGGTTTGGTTTCAAGGAAGGGTGTGGCATACTAAAAAGGAGATGAAAATTTAGAAAAATTGGAAGGAGTCTCAGATTTGCCATGGAAGCAAAGAAAACAATGTAGTGCAGGGGGTGAGTTCAGGTGTAGGTCTGGGTAGCAAATGATGGGTTTTAGAAAACCTGTTGAGGAAAAAATGACAGGATCCTATCAGGTGTTTAGAGTTGTGGGTAGAGGAAGGCAAGGAAGTGATGACTTAAGGCCGTGGGTTTGTGTGGTGGTAAAAACAGTGGACTTATTTCTGGGGAGGAGAGAGATTGTGTGGTAGCTTCAGAGGGGTTCCTTATTTGACTTCCCAATGTTTTGTACTGGCAGTGTTGTGTGTATTTCTGAAAGAGGGCGTTGTCAAGTGAGAATCCTGAACAGAAGATTGGTAAAAGCAGTATTCACAAAGAAACCGTGATCTTTTCACTCTGTTGTGTCTTTGCCAGTGCCACATTGCTGCAGCTGCCAGGGTGGTTTGATTTTATTTGGTTTTACGGTCTGCTTTTCTTTTTTCTCTCTTAAAGTAATGCATGCATTTATTTTTTTTTTTCCTAAGAGGGAGTTTGAGGAGGTTTTATTCTTCTCTAGTGAAAAAATGATTTAAAAAAACATGGGATGGTGAGAAATGGGTAAAGCAGGACGGTACCGGAGTGTTATGAATAGCAGGGCAGTGCATTGTTACAGGGCCCTGCCGCATACCGTAAATCAGTATCGGGGTGCAGTTTAAGGACAACGTCCTTTCCTGAAGGAAATGATATATTTTTTTAAAGTAATTTCTTTATGGATATACGTCTTTATGTGCAAAGGTGAGAACTGGATTCTTGGTGTATACTGAGCCATTCCTGGTTCCTGTGTCCTTTAGGCCTCACTCTCCCATGGAGTAAATGGAGAGTCTGTGGAGTATCTCTGGTGTAAACCTGGTGGTTACCGCACCACTGGCATTACACTGCCTGTTCCGTGGGACACCTGTACTGTGTGTTTTCTCCTGCTTTCATTTTGTGCCGTTC